TCTGGTAGTTGCGATAAGTCTATCCGTTTATGGGATGTTAAGACAGGATAATAAAAAGCCAAATTAGATGGTCATTCTGCATATGTTAATTCAATTTGTTACTCTCCTGATGGTACTACATTAGCATCTGGTAGCATAGATAACTCTATCCGTTTATGGGATGTTAAAACAGGATAATAAAAAGCCAAATTAGATGGTCATTCATCATCAGTTAATTCAATTTGTTACTCTCCTGATGGTACTACATTAGCATCTGGTAGTGATGATCAGTCTATCCGTTTATGGGATGTTAAGACAGGATAATAAAAAGCCAAATTAGATGGTCATTCAAGAGAAGTTTTATCAATTTGTTACTCTCCTGATGGCACTACATTAGCATCTGGTGGTGGATCTCGATATGGTAGTGATGATAAATCTATCCGTTTATGGGATGTTAAGACAGGATAATAAAAAGCCAAATTAGATGGTCATTCAAAAGCAGTTTATTCAATTTGTTACTCTCCTGATGGTACTACATTAGCATCTGGTAGTATGGATGACTCTATCTGTTTATGGGATGTTAAGACAGGATAATAAAAAGCCAAATTAGATGGTCATTGGTCAACAGTTAATTCAATTTGTTAAAATTAGATGGTCATTCATCAACAGTTTATTCAATTTGTTACTCTCCTGATGGTATTACATTAGCATCTGGTAGTTGCGATAAGTCTATCCGTTTATGGGATGTTAATACAGGATAATATAAAGCCAAATTAGATGGTCATTAATGGGGAGTTGAGTCAATTTGTTACTCTCCTGATGGTACTACATTAGCATCTGGTAGTTATTAAGAAATTCGTTTATGGGATGTTAAGACAGGATAATAAAAAGCCAAATTAGATGGTCATTCAACATTTGTTTATTCAATTTGTTACTCTCCTGATGGTACTACATTAGCATCTGGTAGTGGAGATCACTCTATCCGTTTATGGGATGTTAATACAGGATAATAAAAAGCCAAATTTGATGGCCATTCAGATTAAGTAAGAAAAATTTGTTACTCTCCTGATGGTACTACATTAGCATCTGTTTTTTTGGATATGTCTATCCGTTTATGGGATGTTAAGACAGGATAATAAAAAGCCAAATTAGATGGTCATTCATCGACAGTTTCTTCAATTTGTTACTCTCCTGATGGTACTACATTAGCATCTGGTAGTGCAGATAACTCTATTCGTTTATGGGATGTTAAGACAGGAGAATAAAAAGCCAAGTTAGATGGTCATTCAGATTATGTAAGAACAATTTGTTACTCTCCTGATGGTACTACATTAGCATCTGGTAGTTCAGATAAGTCTATCCGTTTATGGGATGTTAAGACAGGATAATAAAAAGCCAAATTAGATGGTCATTCATCAA